TTTCTTCTTATAATTTCTTTCTTAAATTGTTATTTACATATTTTTTACTGTAAATTTCTAAATGTAAAATCTGTAAATTTTGTACATTTCTTTATTGTAGTTTAATGGTCGGACATTACACAGCATTTCACTACATGTCATACTGTGCATAATTCAGCGTGTGACGAATAAAAATTGAATTTGAATTTGGAAAGGTGGGATCTCTCTGTGTAGAGTTTGCTTGTTTCCCTTTAGGTACTCCAGCTTCCCCCTACAAACCAAATTTGTGCTCATTCACCTATATTTGCATTTTCTTATTTCCATCTATATCTACTTTGTGGGATCTTCGACTTCTTGTGCATGTCACTTCTGGGAGTTTAAACATAAATTTTCAAGCAGGGAAGTTGAGTCGTCTTGCCCTGTGTCTTCCTCTCTTATGCCTGTTTGTTCATGATTGCTGAGTGGATTAGAGACACTCTCTATAGAAGACTTACTATTTTCAGTTCACAGTACTCTCTGGCTGCCAGCTGGGCAATCTTCTCTTCAAAGTAAGCCATCTCTTCAACTGTCAGTGCTGCCAGCCTGCGCACCTCTGGATAGGACCACTCTGCACCACACGTCTCGTAGGTGTCCTCATTTAAAGCAGGACACTTAAATTTGTATTGGCCCTGCAGGGACACAAAAGGTTTAATCACCCGTAATGGGGAAGACAGAGTGAGAAACTTTTTTTTAAAAAAAAGTTTAAAATGAAACAAAACAAAATATTGTCTGGCAACAAAGAGCTTCATCATACAAAGTCCCATCAAACCAGATCAGGATGACAGTTTTTAAAATTAAGGGTGGCATTTCCATTTGACGTGTTTTCTATTTTGCGATTGTGACAGGTGAGACCTGAGTCTGGGAACCGCCCCTGGTGGGCGGAGCTGGTCCTTGCTCCTTTCATAAGCTCAGATGTGGGCAATATTCCTCAGCAAACCTGAAGCTGCGAGTGCTTGGTCCAAGTTGGTGTTTTTAATTTCTTTCCATGAAAGCTTGATGCGGGTCCCCCTAAACTTCTGTCAGAACGGTGGGAAACATTGCGTTCCCGTGAGAACAGTGTAGTGGACTTCACCGCCACTGACCCACATTTATTAGGGTGTGACGCGAACTTGTGGACAGAGTACCGAGCTGCTGCTTTGCCAAGTGGATTTCTGGCTGCGGGCAAAGGACCCGACACATCAGTGTGTTTTAATTTGTTTTATACTGGTGTAATTCGACAGAGTGTGACTGCTGCGGCTGTCGATTTTGTTTGTTTCTTGTTTTATTTTTCTGTGTCAGTAGGCACCACAGAGATTGGTTCTTTTAGTATTTTAACCCCTTTTTTTATATATATTGTCGCAGACGGTGAAGCGCTGCAGGGAAAACAAATCCTTTTTTTGTCTCCCCGCTTTTGCATGCGCAGCGGTGGGCCTGAGTGAAGACGGCACTGAAGATTTGCCTTTTTCTATAGTGTTTTGCCCATTTGGGGTCATGTGTGAGTTGCCGTCCCTTTTTAACCTGTGTGCTATGTCGATTTGTTCTTAA